CAGACGCGCACAGCGTACCCACAACCGGAAGAGGCCGGAGAGGAGATATGTCACAGAAAACTGGATCTGTGCTGAGATATGTCACAGAATATCAGAGATATGTCACAGAAAACTGGATCTGTGCTACGGGTTGTGCACCAGGCGGAGAAGACTGACCATTTAAGGCTATTTAAACATAGAGGCATCTCGTAGATGGTGCTCTAGCCTGAGAGATTGTATTTAGCATGCTCTCGGCGAGGTCCGCAGGCTCCCATTGAGAGGCCAAAGGTACATATTGTTCTGTTCGCCTGAGGGAGGAGGTCCCGTCTCAGGGGGATGGGCCACGGGGCTGCTAAGAGCAGCCGAGACAGCTCTGCGAACCAGTGTTGGTTTCTCCAGTGCGGGGCTACTAACAGAACCTTGTGTTTCTGTTCCCTAATTCGCCTGATTACCTGTGGGATCAGGGCGATCGGGGGAAAAGCGTAAAGAAGAAGGTTGGGCAAGTCATGGGCCAACGCATCCCTGTCCTTCGAGAATTAAGTTGGGCAATGAGAGTTGCCTTTTGAGGCGAAGAGGTCGATCTCTGCCTTGCCAAAGATCTCCCAGATTCTCTGAACCGTTTGCGGGTGGAGCGTTCACTCTTCTGAGGGGACCTTGGTCCGAGATAGCATGTCTGCTCCCTGGTTCAACCTACCCGTTGAACTGAGCCCATTCCAAGAGGCGCTCTACCAGAATGAAGAGGCGTTTCGAGGAGAGACCTCCCTGGAGATTTATATAGGACACCACCGTCACGCTGTCCGACCGGACTAGAACATGGTGTCCCTTTAGGTCTGGCAGAAAGGTGCGAAGGCCCAAACACCATGCAGCTGATGTGTAGCCGACCTTCCTCTTTCGACCAGTGGCCGAAAGTAGGTTTGCCATCGCACAGCTCTACCCAACCTGTGTTTTAAGCGTCTGTCGAGACCACCTTCCTTGGTCCATTCCCAGGGGCACGTCTCATTCCATCCACTGAGGGTCTTTCCAAGGGGCCAGAGCTGCTACCCAGGCCTGGTCCACCTTGATATGAAGGCGTCCGAGATGCCAGGCGTGGGACGGAACTCGTGGTTTCAGCCAGTACTAAAGGGGCCGCATGCGAAGTAGGCCTGGCTGAAGTACGTTCTGGCATGACTACCTCTCTCATTTGGGCTGAGTCGAAAACTGTTCCCAGGAACGATATCCGTTGGCTGCGGGACAGTGCACCCTTGGCAAAATTTACCCTGAGTCTCAGGCATTCTAAGTGGCTGAGGAGGAAGGATCTGTGTGATAGTAGCTCGTCCTTCGACTGGGCTAAGATGAGCCAGTCGTTGAGGTAATTTAGAATGCGGATTCCCATCTGTCTCAGCGGGGAAAGAGCTGCATCCATGCACTTCATAAAAGAGCAAGGAGCAAGGGACAGTCCAAAGGAAAGGACGGTGTATTGATATGCCACTCCCTCGAAGGCGAATCAATCAAGAATCGCCTGTGACGGGGGGCTATCTGGATGTGAAAGTAGGCGTCTTTCAGATCCAGAGAAAAGAGCCAGTCCCCTGGACACACATGCGAGAGGATCTGTTTCAATGTAATCATCCTGAATGGCTGTTTCATGAGGGTGCAGTTCAGGTACCTGAGATCGAGGATGGGCCGTAGGCCGCCATCCTTTCTTGGGGAGGAGGAAGTAACGGCTGTAGAATCCTGACTCGCTCTGATGATGGTTGTGTGGGCGCTATTTGAATGGGCCCAGTGTTCACAATCGTAATTACAACAAACATACTGTCGTCAGCACCCGTAAGTTGAAGGGGGTGCTTGGAGGCATAAGAGAGGCTGTAATGCTTTGCTGGACTCAATGCTCTCGCAGAGATAGCAGTCAGCCCCTGTGGGTGCGGCCTCAGCGTGGGCGTGGCCCAGCCACGTCCAATTCTGAAGCTGTCAGCGATAATAACTAGTGACAGCATTCTCTTTAAATCCACCTAAAAAAAGATCAAACCACTTGTTAGAAGACGGGGCACTGAAGATCCTTATGTGTAAACACACCGGCAGATCAAAGTTTCTGCGCGCATCCTTTCAGATCTACTCGTAGCAGACAAGGAGAAGGGCGGGGCCTCCTTCATTGAAGGCGAACTGCGAGCAAAGCAGAGTGAAACACAGACTCTCGCAATGAGAGCTGTCTGTCTTAGTGAGTGCAGCCTCAGCATGGGCATGGCCCGAGCAGCGCACTCAAATTGAAGCTGTCAGCGATATTGTAAATCAAAGGTGACAGCATTATGCTCTGATCCGCTTTGAAGGATTAAGCCGCTCAACAAACAAGAGGCACTAATCCTCAGTGTAAACACACTGGCAGATCAAAGGGCTGCGTGTAGAGTGAAACACATGGGGGCTTGCCGGCATGAAATCACTCAAGCCTGATTGCTCAGCCCCGCGAGTTCACCGTTTCTTTCTCAGAAGTGACTTGGAGAAGAGAAACATGAGAGCGGGGGAGGCGGGGCCACATTAGCACAGCATTCTACTCCGATCCGCCTAGAAGGATTGAGCCGCTTGATGTAATGAGGGGCACTAATCCTCACATGTAACACATGCTGGCAGATCAAAGTGAGCACGCGGGATGTGTGCCGGCGTGACATCACTCAAGCCTAATTGCTCAGCCCCGCGAGTTTGCTGTTTCTATCTCAGAAGTGACTGGGAGAAGAGAAACATGAGAGCAGGGGATTGAAAGGCGGGCCGCCTTGATAGAAGGGGATCTGCGAGCGAATCAGGGACCGACTCAGGCTTTCGGTGAAAGCAGCCTGTCTGTGTGAGCGCAGCTTCAGCAACGCACACATAAATGCAAAGCTGTCAGAGATAAGGGGTGACAGCTTTCTACTCTGATCTGCCTAAGAGGATAAAGCCGCTCAATGTAACAAGGGGCACTGATTCTCACGTGTAAACACACCGGCGGATCAGAGCGCTGCGGGGAGAGCGAGCACGCGAGCTCTGTGCCGGCGTGGGATCACTCAAACCCGGTTGCTCAGCTCCATGGCTCTGTTGTTCCTTTCTCCGAGCTTTGCTGAGAGAAGAGAAACGGGAGAGTGGAGCTGCCTTCATTGAAGGTGGTCCGCGAGTGGAGAAGATGTCGAGTGAGAGCATTCCGTCTCAGTGAGCTTGCAGTCTCTGTGTGGGGGCGTTGCCCAGACAGGCGACGCGCTCACTGACATTCTGCTTCATGCAGGATTCCCTGCACGAGCCACACTCGCAGCGCGACATCTGCAACAACGTCGCTAAGAAATTTGCTCAGAAATTTGCTCTTTTAGCACGCCGGATAGCAGCAGGGTAAGGCTTCCCTCTTCTTCCACTGCCGGGGCTCTTCTACGGCGGCGAGCTGCAGGCTGAGCTTCTTCCTTCTTTGGTTTCTTGATCGCAGAATCAGCAAGAGATGATCCTCATCGCTGAAGGAGAAGAAATCTGAGGATCCTATGGCGAAATGCCCGCTTATATAGCCAGATGGCCCCACCCATTCTGGCGGGCTCTGGCGGGCTTCATCGCCCTTTTGCAGCTCCGCTGCCGAGCCATTGGTTCATTTTTAATTTACTGCACGAACCAATGGCCATGCAGTTACACTGCATTATTGAAAAAGGCTTCAGTCATTGGAGAAAAATTAGTTTTCCCATAGCATCTTAGCAGACACAGTACGAGTGTCTATTACAGTTTCGATAGGGAACACAGTCTTTATATCTCTACATCAATTTTACACACATGGGTCAAAAATGACCCATATAGAAATTTGTATATTTGCTATTTTTTTGCAAGTAGAAACATATTTACTGCAGAAAACTTTTCACCTGCCCAAAATTTCACAACTCAACATGGCTGCTTTTGTATAACTGATGCATTTAGTCTTATTTTATAATTTATTACCACATAAAATATTTGATATATTGTGAAAGATAACGGGATATAATATTTGAATGTTAGGCTAAGGTTACCTTGACCTTGAAATCTGTTACTAGTGAGAAAGAGAAACATGTCCAGTACTATTAGCTTACTTGTTGTTGACATATTCTATTTTAGCTAGATAATGTTAGCTAGGTCAACAAAATAAAAGTCAAAATAATATGTTATTATATACAAGTATAGATTATTGCTGTCAAGTGGAAACCTTGTATCTCCACATTCCATCATTTTTATTTTTTTGTCATAAATCAATACTATTGGTCACACTTTATGTCTGTCGGTGTTCCTTTATCTAGAGTGTTAGTATGGCTGATCCCAGACATTCTAGATTAACGGCTGAAATGATTGTAGAGATGCTGCATGATGAGGAAGATGAGGCCATTCTTAGTCCTGATTCAAAGTCTGAAATATCTGATGCTGATGACCTAGACCAGGGGTGGCGAACTCCGGTCCTGGAGAGCCTCAGCCCTGCAGAGTTCAGCTCCAACCCTAATAAAAACTCACCTGCCTGTAGCTTCCTAGAAACCCTTCAGACTTTGATTAGCTTGTTCTCAGCATCTTGATGTGCCACACCTGTGAGGTGGATGGATTATCTTGGCAAAGGAGAAGTGCTCACTAACAGAGATTTAGACAGATTTGTGAACAATATTTGAGAGAAATAGGCCTTTTGTGTACATAGAAAAAGTCTTAGATCTTTGAGTTCAGCTCATGAAAAATGGGGGCAAAAACAAAAGTGTTGCGTTTATAATTTTGTTCAGTGTAGAAAGCTACAGGCAGGTGAGTTTTTATCAAGGTTGGAGCAAAACTCTGCTGGACTGTGGCTCTCCAGGACCCATATTGGCCACCGCTGGCCTACACCAACTTCACTGAGCAACACCCTGATTACATGGGTGGTGTTACCAATGCATGATGGCTATTCATCAAGAAGCTGGTCAAAGAGCTTGTCATGCCACATATGAAGAGGCGTTTGGAGGGCACACCCCACCTTCAAAACCATATTATAGAGGCAATGGGAAGATGTAGGATAAAAAGCAAAACACAGCCACCACCCGGCCACAAGAAGACATCAGGCAGGAGGGTCAATCGAAGAGGAAGAGGTACAGGATCTGCCCAGCTGCCAAAGACAGAAAAGTCAGCAGCTGGTGTTCCCAGTGCAACAGGTCTGTTTGCAAGGAGCACAAACCTTCAGTTGTCATTTGTGAGGCATGTAAGCTCTGAAATGGCGCTGTACATGTGTGATTTTGTTCTGTTAGTTTTATTTTCATCTATTCTATCATATTCACTACAGACAGTTCAATTTCAGTGTTATCGGTTATCAGTGATATTTGTATGTTATGTGTGACAAAGTGGCAAATAAACATATTTCAAGTGTTAAATGTGTTGATCTAAATAGCTGCTAAAATAATTATCTCTTTATCAAAATCTCTTTATTCTTTTGTTTTATCATGTTTACATTGATGGGTCATTTTTGACCCGTGTGTAAACGTGATGTAGTAACACAAAACCTAGGAAAAAATAAATAAATATTAATTTGTGGTCATTGTAAAAAGATATTATGAATATTTATGGATCATGGAATTTATAGAGCAGGGAATATTAAATGCTGAAACTGATTTCAAAAGATAAAAAAAAGCCCAGCTAAGTTTGAAATAACATGGGAAATGAATACGGGTTTTTAGACCCATTGTCAGGATTCTGGACTGTCTGTGTCATGTTTTGCCCCAGTTTCTGTTCCTGTTTGTCCTTATTTGGTCATGTATTTGGTCATGTTCCTGTCCTGGGCTAGTCTGATTGTCATATGTGATCCACCTGTGTTTCTCCAATTATCCCTTGTATTTAATTTAATGCCTTTTGCGTTCTGTGTTTGTCGGGTCTACCGTTTATGTACGTGTGTTTTCCAGCACCTATTGTGTGGATTTCCCCTCTGTTCCATGGACTAAAGACTGTTTATGTTTACTTGTGCCTCCTGCGTGCTTCCTAAACAGCGTATTATGACAGAAGACCCGACCGAATACAGTCACCTCCGTGTTTTCCCCTCCATTTGTTTTCTCGTTTTTCCCAGTGTCTTTTTTTCCATTGTGTTCCCTGGATGGATGCCCTTCTTCACCCCGAATACCTCCTCCTGCTGGAGCAGGGGGACAAAGCTCTCAAGGACCATATTAGACTGTTCCAGCTGCAAGCAAGCACCACCAGCTACCCGGACGACGTACTCTGTGCGTTCTACGACGCCAGTCTAAAAATCGAGTGCAGAGCGCCGTCGTCCGGAGGCATCAGAGGCCTGCTTCTCCACCAGGTCGCGGATCTGCTTCTCCAGGGCCTCCAGCTCGACCTGCACCGAATGCAGCTCGAACATGTCCTCACCTGCACTCAAAGGTAGACACACATCTGCCATTAAAGCAAGTAACAGTGAGTAAAACAATGGTAATGTGTGTGAATAGAGTATTAGCAATGTAAGCGAGATTAGCGGCAACCACGCTGGCGATGCTAGCGGGCTATAAGCTTATAGCGGAAATCAAAATAAAACTAGTGATAACAAGGCGCTCTGATTGTTTTTGTTGTAGAATACGATAGGGGATATATTCACACGTTATAGAAACGAAAATGGTATATAAAATTTATTTTAAGATAAAAAATAGACGATAAAGAATTAACCTGACGGAGCTCAAACTCAAAACACGCGGCAGCAACAATCAGGATGTGACGTGTGGAAAACAAAGTCCAAATGTTAAGTCACTGTATATGATTTCACATTGCTTTCATATGCAATTTTACCACATCCCCTATTTACAATCATTCTGTTAACACGTGAATGCAGCATCAGTGAAAACAAGCATAGCTTTAGCAACATTAGCCTTACAGAGTGCCAAGAAGCTCTTTCAGAAAGGCAATTTGGGAAACAAACGCGTCACTTACTTTGTCTGGAGCTGACGTTCACGCATGATGCGTTGGTATTGATCCCTAAACATATAGGAGACTTTTTTTCCGGGATATTTCCTTTCAAAATGAAATTTAACCACAGTGTCCTCAGCAGCTCAGATGGAGGGAGTCTATGGAGACTCCTATGTTCGTGCATCCCAAAACACAACACTTGTAATGCCTCTTTAGTGCTGACATTATATATCTCCAGCAGCTAACGTTACAGCAAGGAAAGAGTAACGGCGGACTGCTGCTTCTCACTCAGGTCTGTGTCTATGCTAATAGGGCAGAGAGCGTCACAAATGGGCGGGACTTTTTCCCGTCACTGATGTGTAAAGAGGGAGAATCTGAAACCACTCGTTTGGAGAGACTGTTTATAACTTATTGGGATTATTAAAAAAAATGAGTGGATGGATTTTTACCATTATAGGCTGGTTGTTTTCATACACTGCAGCCACACAACTGTGTTCAAACACCTTATAAAAGTGATTTTTGCATAATAGGTCCCCCTTTAAAAAGGAACAGACTTCTGAGACCGGGACATCTCAAAGTTCAGTGGTCAAAATATCATTCAAATCTCACTTATGATCAATTAATTAAAACAAAATACAGGACACTATGTTTTTGTATGTTTTTTTTTTTAATATTATTATTTTTATTATTATTGCGGGTTCCATGTTTTATTATTATTTATAATTATGATATTTGCAGGTTAACCTAACTGGTTTTAATACAATTCACCAAAAATCACATAATGACAAATAGTAAACAGTAACCATTGCAAAAATCAAACGGATCAAATTGTATATTATAAGATTATAACTTTACAAAAAACGCATTTCAAAAATAAAACAAATTCAAGAACATATGATAAATAAAACTGCATTTAACAAATATATTTGTTAACATTTTCTCATTAATTTCTATCATTTTCACAAACTGTGAATATATAGACAAAAAACTTTTTAAACTTTTCAGATTTTTTTTAAAATTTGTGTTTTCGAAACGGGTTCTTAATATCTCTAATTAGGCACATTATTTTGCATTTTAGGAAGGTGTGTGTGTGTGATGTGTGTACCTGTTTTTCTATTCTGGTGGGGACTTAAACCTAAATACACACAGACTCATGAGGACTCGTGTCACGGTGGGGACCTAGATTGAGGTCCCCACGGGTAAACAAGCTAATAAATCACACAGAATGAAGTTTTTGGAAAAAAAAAAAATGCACAAAGTTTCCTGTAAGGGGTAGGTTTAGGTGTAGGGTTGGTGTAGGGCAATAGAATATATGATCTGTACAGTAGAAAAACCATTACGCCTATGGAGAGTCCCCACAAGGATAGCAAACCAGACGTGTGTGTGTGTGTGTGTGTACTTGTTTATGCTACATTGTGGGGACCAAATGTCTCCACAAGGATAGTAAAACCTGAAATTGTTTACATTGTGGGGAAAAAAATGATTAAAAATAGTAAATGATGTTTATCTGAAAGTGTAACAATGCAAACAGGTTTTCTGTAAGGGGTAGGTTTAGGGTAAGAGGATGGAAAATATTGTTTGGTCAGTAAGTAATAGAAGTCTATGGAAAGTCCCCACAATTCACAGAAACAAACGTGTGTGTGTACACTTTTTACCCAAGTCATTCAATTAAGATATGTGTGGAAATTATGCGCTGACACAAATCTATGTACCAAAAAAAAAAAACAGAAAAAAAACCCAGTATAAAATCTCACATCCTGTTCAGCCCTGTTAAATAATAGCCTACATATGTGTTTCTTTTGATAATTGAAGGCAATCTCTCATCCAGGTTCTTCATGTCTAAAATCGTGGTGCACGACCAAGTAATAAGTGTAGCTCGCAGCTCACTCTGTTGGTGAAAATAATCACCAGACGATTGCTCTGGTAACCCGCAGGATATGTTTGAAAGTCCTGTAAAATGGGTAATTTATTTATTTATTATTATTATTATTATTATCTGTATTTATACAGATAATCACATATTACTGTAGTTATGCTGGATTCACATATACTACTGGGTGGGGGGCTTTTGCAAGATGTTTTCTTGTTCTTGTTGTTTTTGTTGTTGTTGTTTTTGCTGTTGAACTGCAAAATATAAAAAATATATATAGGCAGAATTATAACTTTGCTAAAAGTATTCCTTATAACAAAAGACACAAACATATAAAAATATGTATGAATATAATATGCATTCTCAATTAAAGAAGCTTACATTTGAGGCATATAAAACTACTTGTATCAAAAGAAAATTATATGCAGTTTCTGGAAAAATACAAACGTAAAGATCCATAAACCTAAACACAGTCCACTGTAATTATGCCCTTTCTGGGGAGTTGGGCTTGTGAGACGAACAGGTGGCCTACCTTTTACTGCCTGTGCAGAACAAAAGAAGTTGAGCTTCTCTTCACAATCTCTGTGAGTCCAATCCCTTGTTTGTTTGTCCAGGGCTCCACAACGAAGGTCTCTAGCAGGACACTGGGGCTGTCCTGTCTTAGACCAGGCTGTGTAGTCAAGAACATTTCCATTGACCCAGAACCAGTCCCCTGCTAGAAAGCGCAGACCAGTCCACACATACTTTGTTTCAGCCTGTGTGATTTTCCCTAAAGCAGAATCCATCATGCTAAGTGAACTCAGACTTGCTAGATCATTGTTTTGTTTTCGGCAGTATTCTAGAGCTCCTTCCCAGGCCTCATTCCGCAGCACCAGAACAAACTCTGATATGTTCATACAGAAGAAGGAGTATTTATCATTGCAATCTATGTCTTGTAGTTTCTTATGGCCTTTGTGTAGAAAAGCACAACCATCATTTTCAGGTTGTTTATTACTTGTATCCCAGTTAATATATTTCGCATTTTCACCTCCTGACCACTTCCAGACTCCTGATTCTTTGTAGAGTCCAACCCAGGCATGAGAAGGTTGATGAGCTGCATCTTCCAAAAACTGCTGTTCCTCGCTCTCATTGGTGAAGGTGGAAAGGTCATGAAAATAAGTTTTGCAGTAGTCATTTGCAGAATCCCATGTCATCTTCTCTTTCACAAAGAAATGTTGTTTGAGACCGGAGGAGAGTCCGCAGAGCTCCATGATTAGGAGCAGAGCGAATGTCGTCTTCATCTTCATCCACTGAAGACGTTCTGTGATTTTGTGATAGTGATCAGTTGAAGTTGAGGACAGAACTGTGCATGATGACACTGACTCTCTCTTAAACTGACATACAGACAATGACAAATGAGTGTGATGGTGTGACCAATCACAGCACACCTTCACAGACAAACAAAACGGGTGCATTTAACCAGTCAAATGAACCTCATAGGTAAGAAACTGCGGGCCGGTAAATATGGAATTAAACATTTTTGCATGTGCCCCCAGTTGGTTTCATGCAGTGGTCCCAGAATTTTGACCTGAACAATATACAAAAAACACTTTTTTTTTTTTTTTTTTTTTCAGTGATCAGTTGAGGACAGAACTGTGCATGATGACACTGACTCTCTCTTACTTTAACTACATACAGCCAATGACAAATGTGATGGTGTGACCAATCACAGCACACCTTCACAGACAAACAAAACGGGTGCATTTAACCAGTCAAATGAACCTCATAGGTAAGAAACTGCGGGCCGGTAAATATGGAATTAAACATTTTTGCATGTGCCCCCAGTTGGTTTCATGCAGTGGTCCCAGAATTTTGACCTGAACAATATACAAAAAACACTTTTTATTTTTTTGTCTCCTAACTTTAACAAACAAAAGAAACCGACAAAGAAAGCTAATTTCCACACACAGTCTCCAGCTGTAAAACCATTAGAACATATTTTGCAAAGCTGGAATTTATCTTATTCTTTTTATGGGACTCTCCCTGGCACTCTGCAGAAATACTTAGTTGCAGAAATGCAAATCAGATCTAATAAAGCATATCTTGAACAGCATCCAAACAAACTGACAAGCATTTGCCTTTAGGCTGGGCCATAGCTAATGTACTTAGCTAAGGTAAGATTGATGTAGGATCCAACATAATGAATTAAATGTGTTGTACGTCCCAATAAAAATCACTCTGTTATATATTAAATCATTCCAAGTAGCAGTTTAAAAAGTATGGATAAGGTAAATTCCAGGCGTGCCTAGTCCTGGAGATCTACCTTCCTGCAAAGTTCAGCTCCAACCCTGATCAAACACAGCTTAACCAGTTAATTAAGATCTTCAGGAGCACTTGATAATTACAGGCAGGTGTGCTGAAGCAGGGTTGGAACTGAACTCTGCAGGTAGGTAGTTTCACTGCACTCAAATGCTGTATAATTTTTTTTATGCTATTGTGACAGTAACTGTAAGATCAAAAGCACAACATGAACGTGAAGCCCTGAGGAAGAACTGATGAAGACATTTCAGACCTGATAATGGGTAGTTTTATAAAAGTGAACTTTGCATTCAAAGGCAGAAAATTGCCTCACATGCTGTAACCTATACTGTAGTGTATGTGAGGCCATTTTCTGCGTTTGAATGCAAAGACACCGCTTTTGGGTAACACTTTATTTCAATAGTCCACATTAGACATTCTACTAACAGTAAGTAACTTGGCAACTACATGTCGACTACAGTTATTAGAGTATTAGTAGTCTGTCTGCTTAATATCTTCTAACACTTTATTTTGATGGGTCCGCAACATACAACATACTGACTATAAGAAACTTTGCAAGTATCTTAAGTACGTCAACTTATTCTACTAACCCTAAACCTAACCTAACAGTCCACTCTGAGAGTTAGTAGACCTGTAGTTGCAAATTAATGAGAATTAGTTGACATGTAGTTGACATGTAGTTACAAAGTTACTTCTAGTTAGTAGAATGTCTAAAGTGGACTATCAAAATAAAGTGTAACCAGCTTTTGAAATTTCATGAAACTTTTGAACCTGTGTACTAAAGAAGATACTTAAACTTCAAAAATATGATAACTTCATATTGTATTTTTTACTCTCCAGAGTACCGAGCAATCACTGGACATTCAGAAAATCCTTTGAAGAAGTTTGAAATAGAAAATACTACTACATATCAATTATTTACCATGCAACCATTTTGCATGTATTCCTTAGTTTTAGAAGATTATAGGTGCAGATTTGGGTTTCAAGTGAACTGTGAGTGAATGTAAATGTGTATTCGCAGTGATGAGCCTTACATACATGCATCACAGCTGACATAGCCAAATATTAACCAAAGTTACAAAATTACACATCACGCAAAACACCAACACTCTCTCTGTGTAGCCCCTAATAGCCCTGAAATTGCTGCTGAATGTTTTATCAGTGAAAATAATCTGTACTATTATTATTTACTATTATTTACTTGCTTTTCTTCGCTAAACTTGGAGGCTTGTGTTAAAGTGGCTTCATTTCTAGTGAGTCTAAAGACCTTGTTTAGCTGGTTCAGGTGTTTAATTAGGCTTGGAGCTTGGTTCAGGAGAGTGGTCCTCTAGGAACAGGATTGGACACCTCTGGCATAGAATTACTGTATACACTCTAAAAAATGGTGGGTTGTTTCAACCCAATTTTGGGTCAAATATGGACTAACCCAACTGTTGGGTTAAATTTTGGTTACATTTTTAAATTAACTTTTTAACCCAACAGTTGGGTTAGTCCATATTTGACCCAAAATTGGGTTGAAACAATTTTTCAGTGTACCTCAATGCCCAACACCACTTATTCTACTCAAGGTGATTTTGTGGAGGCCACACTACAGAGTCACAGATATAGTATTTACATGAATGCTAAATAAAGTGATCGGGTCGATGTGCACGTTTATATGTCACAAGCTTCAATATCGGATTTGATCTATTGGCATGCGCACACTGCAAACTTATACAGAGTTTCCCGCTGTTTGCACATACTATTCTCCAGCCATTGTTTCTTTTCTTTGTTTTAAAGAGCAGACTTCATATTCATCTTGGATCCCAATTAGGAGATGATGAACATATGCAGCTTTGTACTGTGCTGCTTATATTTATCAGGCAGTAAAACCACCCATTCCCACGGCCAAAACAAGCCGTCTGTGGATGAGAGTATAAAGTGAGGACTAATGGTATGTTGTTCTGCTTCAATTCACAGACGATGAGTGGATGGCAAATTTTAGAATAACATGACACTTCATTCTACAAAAACAACAGCTCGTTCCATGTGTCATTACGGTATTTCTATGTCATTGCACATTCACAAAACTTTCCAGTACCGGTTTTCAATCCGATCAAATGTTTACGTCCTTTATATCGCATAAGAAAAGGTTTACACCACACCTTCCAATTTCATTTGAATTGAGCTCAATCGGATCAATTAAAATGTTTACATGAAGGCTTTTCCGTCCGATTGAGCCGTCAATATAATTACTTACGTATTTGGTTGCATGTAAATGAATATAGCCATCAATCAGGCTCTACTGGGAAATGGGCAGCACCTGTGGCAACCTGTTTAAAGAAGCTCATGGATTTTGCCTAACCTCACCCTCTCCCTTTTTTTTTTTTTTGTTTGTTCTTCGGGTGGAAAAGTGGGTCATTGGGATGTTTGTTGTTTTGTTGACATTTCTTCAAACTCAGGTCACTGTTCCCAAAACAGTTAACACAGTGAGCTGAACACTTTGTAATTGTCCTAAACCGATTTAGTTTTGATTCATTTCATACAAAATACAAAACATGCAAATAATTTTCTCAAAACAATGTGCACAAAACTCTCAAATGTTTTCACAATAATTAATACAACCAACCAATACTTTAAAATATCTGAAAAAAGGTTTTACACAAATCAAAAACATTTATGTACCATTTGTCCAAACACAACAAACAAAACTCTGTAATTTGTCATTCTATGAAATGAACATGGTATATTTTTGATTTGCCCTAAACTGATAACTACTCGGTTCATTATACTCAACACAGGAAATGCAGTTTTCCTAATTGTTTACACGTTTATCACAATTGCTTTGGTGTAATAGTAAAAGGGAAAGTATACAAAGAGCAAGAACGAATATGCATAATAATAATAATAATAATAATAATAATAATAAATAATAACAGGGGTTGGGGGATAAATAAAGAGGTGTAAGTCTATAAGGTGGTGTAACACTTCCTGTCCTGTAAATGACATTTTTCAGAATTGAAGTTTGAGATCATTCAGGTGCACAATCAAGTTTATTTTGAATGGAACAAGAGCATTGATATGGTCCAGAACAACATCACCAGTCACAAAGGAAGAGGCTTGTGGAGATGTTGAGACAGGAGCTTGTTAAGCATGGATTCAACCTTCTTAAATTTTTCTCCTGTGATGCAAGTGCAGCAAACATGTAGTGTAGATAAAGTGCAATGAAATTCTCTTCCAGATGTAAATGAAAGGCAAGATCAATAATTCAGGGTAACAGGATAATTCATGCATACAGCAAACACGTGTGTGTGTGTGTGTGTGTAAAGATTTGTAGTTATAAACATGTATTTTCATTAGCATATTTGTGTATCAACAGATGAATGTGTTTTATAATCAATAGAGAGCACACCTATAGATTTGATGTTAATATTTACTTTTAATAAATGCATTAGAAAAAATTGCAGTGCTTCATTTTGCAATAAAGTTCAACTGTTTGGTTAAGATAATTTTGTGTTTGGATGGCTGTGCTAATTGTTTTGAGAACAAGTACATTGCATTGGAGAAAAGTGTCAAATCGATTGAGAAAAACTGTATTAATACTCTAAAGCAATTGTGATAAATGTGTAAACGATTAGAAAAACTGCATTTCCTGTGTTGTGTGTATAATGAACCGAGTAGTTATCAGTTAAAGGGGTCATATGATGCGATTTCAATTTTTCCTTTCTCTTTGGAGTGTTACAAGCTCTTGGTGCATAAAGAAGATCTATAAAGTTGCAAAGACTAAAGTCTCAAATCCAAAGAGATATTCTTTATAAAAGTTAAGAGTCAGCCACACCTACCTAAAACGGCTCGTTCTAACACGCCCACACATTTCTACCTCACTATGTGGGAAGATTTGCATAACACCGCCCAAATGTTCACGCAAAGAAAGAAGGCGTAACTTTTATTCTCGCTGTAGTATTGTTGACGCTGCAGCCATGTCGTGAAGACGCTGTGGTTTAACCCAAATATCCAGATGTGTGCAGCACATTTTATGG